GAGATTTTTGAGTGGTTGTTGCACGCACTAGTTTTGCGTTGCATTGTCCGATTATCCTCTCATCAGTGTGAGTTCAACGGATGAGTCTGTCAACACGGCCATCCCTAAGGATTTGCTTTGTGAACAGATTGATTAAGTAGGTGTCAATCTTAACGTTCACTCCCTCTGAAACGCATCCTCGAAAAAGCTGTCAGTGTATATCGCTTTCACTATGGCCACTGCCCACACGAGAGAAAAAAAAAACAACGAAATAATCGAATACAAAGCCAGATTGCACAGATTCACCAAATGAACCACATTGTTCTGGTAGACACTAAATATTAGATTTAGAGCTCGTTAGTATCGATCACTAACTGAATCGGCGGCCCACAATAGGAGTTAACACAAGAAGTGTTCAAGCCTATGAATAAAACTTGTTTAGCACTGGTTTACATCTGCCATGCAATAGCTTTGCGTCGTCAACACCATCGACTCTCCTCAGTGGCTAGGCGAGAAGCCTAAAAACTCATGTCAGGAGTGCTCTTNATGTACGATGTTGACGGTGAGAACAAGTTCATTCCATCTCATCACCGTGAACTGATTGTTGCAAATTGTTGAAAGTATTATACGTTCCCGTGTTCGCTTGAGCGACTTAACGGAGCCGGATCTACAACGAATTCAGTACAAGTGAAGTTCACTTCAGAGAAGATGTCCTTTAGCACTTCTGATTCAGAGTCTGTCAGTAACCCTTCGCCGAATACCAGTGCTTCACAGGCAACCAACGGTGATGTATCGCTGTTTTCGTTGCTCGCATGGGATATTTGCAAGAGACCGGTTAGCACTCATCCAATTACTTCTTATAAGACCGAAAATTTCCTCTATATTCGGATATGAGCTTTCAAACAGTGAATGTACTCCCCATGCGAATAATCGGAAAATTTTGATCACCTTAACGAATTGCTGAAATTCAGTCAGTGCTTTCAGTTTCGAGAAGATGACTTGAACAGCGGATCGAAACGGAAACAGAAAACAAATTCTGAGCTGATCAGTGAGGTCAGGATGAAGGTGAGGCCGTTTCTTTCTGTGAAGACGATTGCCATCCTTTTCGAAGGCATTCATTCATGTATTTCAGTTTTATCAACGCATTTCTCGTCATTTACGTAATCCTTCCCTCTCATGATAATATTCTGAAGAAACAATTTTATCTATTTTGAGCCAATGCGATTTTTCCGTATTGTTCAAATCAAGTGTAACAGTTTTCTCCGAAAAAAAAAGAATTTCTTACGGATTTTTTATTTCTTGTGTTTAAAATATCAGTTGTTTGCAGGCAATGGAAGAGAGTGTAAAATTCATGTCCGATATGCCCCAAGTCTACATGCTCTGCAATGTTTCAAACAAGACAGAACTTGAGAACATTTGGAAGTTGGCGAATCTTGATCAACCCGGGTGGATATGCTCAAATTCGATAGCGGTAAAGTGACAATCGTTGCCTTCAAATCCTAGCATACAAATGATTACCTAATGACATTACTTCAATGGATCAGTTATACATTTAGTTTTTGGCCAACCTCGATTCACTTACAGCCGAAATGAGTATAATGCAGTCGTATGCGTGAAATATGCGACTAAATTTGTTTGAATGATTTGTGACAAAGTTTCAGAATCGTACAGCCGCAGCAACAATCATGTGGACTACAAATATCGACTGTGC